GTTGACAGACAGGAATTCTATTTGATCTACAACAATCTATTCTTGCCCCATATTTTTCTTACGCACACATATACCGAGAATAAAGTATTTGTAACTATAATCATATAGAGAAGTAATCGCTCATTATAATCAAGAAAACAAATTTTTTAATTAAATTCTACTATAATGTGCAACAATAATAACCATATATGCATGTTACTGCTATCATTTTATTATAAAAATATAGTTAGGATAAAAAATAAAAATAATAATTTTGATGAGATTTCAAAACCATTTTTCTCTCAGTGTATATTCCAATTAGTATCAGGTGGAAAAAACATTTTGTATAGAAACCGATCCGTATAGGAATTTTCACAATTAAATTTTTAACATATCAAAACAAAATTTAACGTATTATTATTTTAACTATCTTGCGTTGAATTTCTATTCATCATATTTCTAAGTGTTAAAATAACACAATTCGAAGGTAAATATACGAGAGAAAGATTTCTTGGTAACGCATTTTGAATGTAAAGCATACACACAAGTTGTGTTATTTGTTTACATGTCTGCCTTATATCAAATCAACGGAAAAATTAGAGTGATTCAATTAAGACATGTAAAACGTGCCAAATTTAAAATGAAACTTTTCGCGGTGCAGATTTACTTGACAGATTACCGTCGCAAGTATCTTAAAAATAAAATAAATTTTATAAATCATCTTTTAAAAATAATACGCGATCCCTCCTTCTCCCCACGCGTAGACAATTACATAATCCTTGCATGTTAAAACGATCGTCACCGCAGCTCGCACTCATCTTCCGCGTGGTATTTCGATGATTAGACGCGGTAATGGAATCTTGTTCACGTTTCCGTCGAACAGTTGAACGTGAGATCTGCATTTCCGCGCACGCTTGCATTTCTACATCGTCGTTTCAACGAGTATCTTCGAAACGACTCTCCGTACCGCGAGGCACACATAATACCCGTAATTTGAGGAATTTACGTTTTCAAGAACGCACACGCATCTCGCTGCATCGACAATTGCGTCTCGGTTTCACCTCGTGCGCCATTTTCAGCAGATAATTAACGGGAATTCCTTCGCGCGGTCGTAACCAGTGCTCGTCTTTCGCAAGCAGAAGAAAGAAAGAAAGAAAAGTTTGATACTTACGATAATCACATAGAAAGATAATCATTATAAATTACGATTGAGAGAGAGAGAAAATTATTCTTTTGTTAAACCTTACTATAATGTTGGCGCGATAATGCAGCCTCATATACATGTTACCACTACCGTTGTTGTGTTGGAACCAGCAAAAAATATATTTGGGGAATCAGGAATCCCTCAGATATACTTAAGTTTGTTCGCGTTGCTTGCACTTTTGACACTTTTATACTTAACACCTGTTGCACATTGAACTTCTTTTTAGAAAGAAGGATTTCTAGAAGGCAGGCTCTCATTGAATTTCACTCATTCACGTCTCTGGTGTGCAACGGATGTGGTTAAGTGCAAAAATGTCAAAAGTGCAAGCAACGCGAGCAAAGCTCTTTTCATAGGAATTTTAGTTGGATCAGACATTTTGTTCTCTCTCAGCGCGCCGATTTCGCCGTGCGTGCTTCCCGGCGAGAGTCCGCGGAACAATTGCGGACAACAATAAGAGAGCCCTCCTCCCCCTTCAGTACATTTATTCGCTGTAACAGCCGGCCCATTGTGCCTAATCGTCGCCTTCTCCGCGCGCGTGCGTCGTCCCTCGATCGGCCGATCGGCGTCATGGTGAAATCGCTCGCGGCAGGCGCGATTCTCGGGCGTCTCGCGCGATCTCGCGGCGGGTGGTCCGCGATCGTGAAATTAAAATCGAACGCGACGTTCGGAGCCCATGACTATCTACGAGCGGCATCTCGATGGGCGACGCGCGCTCCGCGTCCGACTGTTGTGTTGCGTGTCGGATTACGCGCGTGTCGAAATCCCCTTCCGGTCCCCTTCGATCAATCATCGACGCTCTCGTGAGCATCGAGCTTATCTCTCCCCTTTCCCATTGTTTCTTATAATTAAATAAATGGCTCATTGTCGGACACTGAAAGAGATAATCCGATAAAAAATTAACAAAATTTAGATATTTCCGATCAAATTCCGACTAATTTTTATATCCGATTAGATTTTTCGGATACTTCGGATTATAATAGCATTTCATCAGATGAACCGATCAAAAAATTGTGAACCGATATTTCTTGTCGGATATTTCCTGATCGGGTACAAAAATTCATCAGTATTTTGATCGGAAATATTGTTAATTTCTTAACGAATAATATCTCTCAGTGCAGGTATCTCCACAGCATTTTTCTTAGAGGTTACATTCGCGGACGATCTGTTTGAATGTGACGTTGTTTGCTTCTCTCATGCGTCATTTTATACACTCGGAGACGAATACATAGTAATGGCAATTATATAGGTAACAACTATATGAGTTTTGTATATAGAGAGAGAATCAATGTATATAGTTAAATAAATTATTTTGTGCTTATTGTAACCGAAAGTGAATGATCACGAGGACTATACACGGAGAGAATATTGTAGTAAAAATTACAAAATAATTTTTATAATCTCGGACTGTATTTGGTTCCTGAAACCTGAGTTTCAGCCCTGCTCCTTGAAACAGTGAACTAAAATGTTCATAAAACGGCGGAACCAAATACAAGGAAGATGCAATCCAAACCCGAAAAACAAGCGAAATATTCTCGGCTGTTAATTCAATTGACGTTTCTTCGGAGAGAAACCGTGCGCGCGCACGCGTTACTTGTTAATTAGAAATATTATATATATTCCCCTTCGCGAACTACACATATAAGTAAAAATTTTAGAGTTCCATTTTTAGCAATTTTTAGGAATGAGTGGGAGCGAGAGAGAAACTCTGATAGAAGTGAGGGGGAAGCTTTAAGACTGAAATGACGAAGCATGCTGCAGCTCTCACGCACTCACTCACTTCCTCTCTGCAAATGGCGAATGGTGTTCTAATTCTGACTTGAGAAATTCTAGAAGATTCCATACAACCGGAGGTGTTTTTTCTGCCAAAAAGTTTCACAGATTCTCTGTAATCAGTGATGCGATTTTCCAGTTATCGCTAATCACGCGGAGAAAGTCGCGATATGTATCTGGTGTCGGGATGGGCTGTTGGAAAAGCGTCGAGGATCATCGTGCTTGACGTGACAACGATCGTTCCTTGGCCGTCGGGGGATAATATCGCACATAATAATAATGGGCAAGGGGAGGGCGCGCGGTTGTTTGTGTATAGCACGGGGTGGTAGTATTTTAAATGCCAATGATTTCATGTCTCCCCGGGGTGCTCGTGGCCACCCTATATAGGACGCGTCGGCGGCGTTCGAGTGCTCAGTTGACGACGGGGAATCCGCCGATTAATAAGATCCACCACGGGTCCCTCGACCGTCCGAGGAATCCGACGGAGCTGGTGAAAGTGATTTTGGACATTTCGCACACTAACGACACGGCCGTCAATTCGATCGGCCGATTGACCGTTGAAATTCGCTAGAATTCTACGTGTTTGGAGTGATAAGAGTTCGTTCGCTCTTGCGCAATTGTTTAATCCGCGCTCTCGCAGCCGTGACGCAGACATGATCGCCATGGCCGACGGCGGACACTCTCAGTATCGCAGATACTGTACGTACATTCCGAGCGTTCGCCACCTTCTCAAGGTTTTCGCGATATCGAAGCTGGACGGTGGATAACGTTGTTTGGATATTCGTTAATCATGTAATATTCTTAAACGCACGAGAGAACTGTTTTTCTCTCGGTAACGAGATCCTTCCTCCTTGCTTCAACCGACACATTCGATAATTTAATAATAATTTAATCTATATATTATATAGGAGAGATCTCCAGAGTTCATAATTTGAATCGTACTTTCGGCCTCGACGTTTCATTTAACACGAACTCTGATACTCTAATGGCCATTTTCACTATCTCCGGTTACCTTAACCGGCTAGTTATTCCGTTGGAACTAACCAATCGCACTTGTCGTTTAACAAGATTGACCAATCACCGTGCACATTTAACCAGTAGTTAAGGTAACCAGAGATGGTAAAAATGATCATAAAACGTACATTAGCTTCTTTTGATTCTATCTAACTTTCTAATATTGCCGAGAGTCCTCTTCAGATGTTCTGCAGATGTCTTCATAATCCTGCGTTTTCTGCCGAATTTGGAGGCGTTAAGTAGGGTTCTAATTTTTATGTGTATTAAACATATGCTGATCCTTCAGGATATACAGATGTTGGAAAGTTCAAGTCGAAAGGGTTAAAATTTCGACTCGGGGTAGAACGAAAAAGTGAAAAAGGGATATCTTACGGTCATGTTACACGTGTTCGGAGTCTCCCTTTCATCACTTACAATAAGCACTCGACTTCAAAGTGCAGATTTAAACATCCGTGAATGACCGAGTTGTACTTAATGGCGCAGGAAATGTGGCACGCAAACGATAGAATGCTGAAAATCAATATTAAACGCGATAGAAAGAGTAACCTCGCCGCATCCTCCCGGCGTATCGTTTGAAATTGTACGTCAGAAAGTTCTTTTTTTCCGCACGAGAAACGAGGTTATGGTCCATTTTTGCCTCATCGCGTACACAAATGAACGGTGATACACTGTTCTCCGTGTTCTCTAACATTCGATGATAGGCAACGCGTACATTGTTCATCAACGGGTACTTGAAGTGCTATTATTGGCAGAAAAGGTGCATTATGGTACACGTGTCTCGCATTTTATTCCACTATGCCGTCTGATGTCTTATTTTCTGCCACGTTAATATCAATTAAAAGGATACAACCCGCAATGTCTCTCTTCATTAATATTATATTCATCCGTCAAAATCATATTGTATATTCTTTAAGCGTGCCCGCTTAAAGAGCGTCTTTTGTATCGCTTCACCTTGACACGAGTAATATCTTCCGATCTGTAATGTGATACAAAAGAGATATGATAATCAAGGGCATTCGTTTGGATGTTGCAGGGCAACTGCATTCGCCGAACGGCGACAGCGACAACAGCAACGGTAGCCAGCGTGCGGTGGCTGTTACTCGCGGCGAGGTAGAGCAACAGCAACAGCAGCAGCAGCAGCAGCAACAGCAACAGCCGCATCGCCAACGGCAGCAGCGTCAGGCGACCGCTACCGTTCCGGTTCTCGCCTGCACAAATCAATCGTCTATCACCACGACCACGACCGCCTTCACGGTGGCATCAAGCATGCTTCTCTTGCAAACGCAGGTTAGTCTTTTTTTCTTCCATTCCTTCTTTTCCTTGCGACAACTCTTGCTTCTGCGAGGTGTAGAATTCGTGAGGAATGCGAAAGACGTCAGAGATGGTGAGAAAAATTACGGTGGTGCAATCATCTCACTCTTTCGCGTATAATATTGTGGAACGCATTTTCTCAAAATGAATCAGTAAGAATGTTTCTGGTTGAAGTAACCAAAGAAGCATTTCACGAATATTTAGAGAGTGTTCACTGATCTCTTTAGTGACAACACTCCCCCCTTTACTGCTCTGTTTGATCTCTCTCGAGGTAAGATTTTGTTACAAAATCTGACAAAATCTATACAAATTCGTTATATGCAATACCAAATTCAACTTTTTGCAGTGATGGAATTAACGGCTTTCATGTGCATTGCATGCAACTACTCATTGTTTGTGTTTGTAAACTGTATTGAAATTGCAATAGAAACAGTCGCTACTATTAACTGATCTTCTCAGCGAGATTTTACTGATTGTAGTGCTTTACTTATAACAAAGCCACTAGTTATGACATTTCAATGAAGAATACACTGGTTGCATTTTAAGGAAGTCAGATCCAAGCGACTTTGGTCCGCTCCGTAACTTTATTGGAAATAAATATTTTTTTACATACATTTTTCCCAGAGATACAGAAAAGTCTCAGTAATAAGATAGTGATGCGATAAAACTGAAATCTGGAAACAGAATCGCGCTATTTTGAAATTTTCCCAAACCCTTCACGGAAGTTAGTGTGAGCGATTAAATCTCACAGATTCAACATTGTAACCGGAGGGTTAACAATGACTGAATAAAAAAAGCGATAAATAATAGGAAACAAAAACTCGTAAGAAATTTACATATTCAGGAGCGTGTTATTTCGCGTTATGGGATTCTCGCGCGTGTAGTTGTACAAATTGAGCGTGTCGATGAAGCCACCGCGTTTGCATGTCACCATAACGCAACGTAAGTTGTAATTTTACGTAATAATATTCGTCCGTGTAACTGCTCGTATCTCACCTCATCTCATCTCATCTCGCATAAATAATTCCAAGAAGAACACTTGAGAAGAAATATGGATATGTAATGTCTCCAGATGGCGTATCGCGTTTCAAGCAATTTACCGGTGACCCGCGAGAAAACTTTTATTACCGACTCATGTCTTTGGTGCCTCTAATTTATTACGTTTTTAATGTTACATAATTAACGAGTTCAATTGAACTCGGCGTTACTTAACGAGATGAGCGATTTCCCGGGGAGAAATAACGTTCTAGGAGAGTCATTTAAAAAAAAAGAAAAGCAGAAATTTAGTTTTCCAAGATTCATCGCGGTCCTTTTTCCCCCCGCGCGCGCTTCTTCCAGGATATTCTCATGTAACGGCAGATCACCTTTTGCCTCTCCCATCATCCGTTATCGTACGATCCTCTCTTATCGAGACCGCGAGGTGTACAGCAGCCGGCGTCTTTCCCACCGACCGACTCTCGCCGTGCTCGTCCAGCTTGAAGTTATCGCGCCGCGATCCGATGGTTAATCCAATTCTTATCGACTCCCGTGAGCTCTCCTCGGATTCCACGACGGATCCTGTTTAGCCCGGTAACAAGATCCACCCTCCCACGTCTCGCGATCGTCATCTGCGTTTATCACGCGCGATCTGCATTCCACGTACCCGGATACCGAGCACCGCGTCCTACCTGTTTCTCTCGCCCTCTGCTCTCCGTTCCTCCTTGGTGCCCCCTTCATTTCGACCTGCCGTCTTCTTTCGCGGTGGACGAAACGACGTCGCGGCCAATTAACCGCCAAAACGAGAACGCGTCTCTGAATTAGCGAGGCAACGCCGTAGCCGTTGTCTCGGCGGTTTACGGGCAGAAGTAGATGAAGGGGGGGAGGGGGCCGCTTTTAGGACGCCGTTTAGCAGGCCATTTATTCACGGTCTAGAAGGACGAAGCTTCGATCGCCGGTCCTCGGGGGAGCGATGAGCGAAATGTCAGCCCGAAGCGGAACCGGCGCTTGCAAATTGAATATCCACCCCCGACCGTGCCCGTCCCCCTTTCTCGTGTTACTATCTCTCAGCTCGCCCCTTCCCCTCCCCTCCCCTCTTACTCTCCCTCCGCAGGATGTCCTGCAGCAATGGTTTTTGTTTTTTTTTTCATCCTCCGCTTTTAATGAGAATAGTACAGATAGAATTCGTTGAGAGCGCTGTAGATTTTCTCGCAGCTGTATCTTGATCTTCGAGAGTGTCCGTCAACCTCACACACACATACACGAAAAGATATCATTCTATTGCTAAGAGAAGCGATTACGCAGTTTACTTTCCCTCTTCTAAACAATGGTTATCCTCAACGACGAATACTTTCCTGATAATAATCTTGAAATCTACTCACCACAAATTCTCAAAGACGATTTTCATTATCGTGTACTCGAAGAAACAGTTTATTCTTGTTTTATTCTTACCTAAGCTACCTTATATTAAGATTATCATAAAACTTTATCAAAGAAAAAGTTGATTTGATCCTGCGTAGTGAATTTTCGTTTTCATTCGATGTTCTTTCATTCAGTTGAAATGCTAAACATTCTTACTAGGACTCAGGATGTATTTTGGATAAATTTCATCTCTATGTGACAGATTTGCATATATATAAACTTATGAAATACTTGAGACAAGTGACATTTATTCGAATGCAGTATGCAGTTTTTCTGTGTGCAGAAACATAAAAAGTCACGTCAATCCTGAACATGGGTAAATTTTACACCAAGCGCATTTTCTTCCCCGGAAAGAATAGTCGAAGTTGAGTATTTTCTTTTTTAAAATCAGTGTGGGACTCGCTAAGGAGTATGATTTTATGAACATTTCTGCGATTCCACAAAGTTGAAAAAAGTTACAACAAAAAACATAACAAGCTCTCTCCAAATTCATTATTTTTTAGGCTGGTTTGAACAAATTTTAGTTTAGTGTTCTGTGGTTAATATCAGAAGCATCTCGAGTGCGTGACAACATTGAGCCACCGATGAGTTGGCGAGTGTCATCGAGATATTTTCGGACGGATGTTGACACCTTGATCCGAATGCAACGCTTGTATCGACGTGTGTTTGATATTATATCATTCGATTTCTATTACGTTCACATTTTTCCTCTCCCGCCGTAATTGCCAGCGGGGACGGATTAATCTTGTAAAATTTGGCGGACCTGTTTCACAAGCGAAATAGAAAGTGCTGTTGCGCGATCACGCGAATTCGTCGCGTCGAACGCCGTGAAGACAAACTTACATCGTTAATTTCGAAAGCTGAATGAACGGCCGCCGTTTGAATATTTCATGGCCGGCTAAGTAATTCATCATAGCATCTCCTTCTCTCTCTCGCAATGTACATCATCGTCGCTCGGCGAGTTGATTTGCAAAGTGTATCAACACACACACATACACATACACGACTGTGTATTATTATCCTTATTATCCTTATTATCGTTTATTATTATCCTATTGTCGCGTGCGAATATTTCACCGCGCGATCTCGTCTAGTGTTTTACTGTCTATCGACTATCGGCTATCAATGATTGAAGAAGGAAGGACGGACGGACAGGGGCAGAGAGGCGGGGAGGGGGAGAGGAACAACGAGGAAAGAGCGAGCGAGAGAGGGATTCTAAGCCTCTATCGAACGCGCTAGCTTATAGACAACACGCGATACGAGCTGCCTTGTCCAATCCTCCCTCGAACATCCTCACTGCGCACCTCGATTGTACATCGATGTCTCGACGCGGCTCGCAATTGTGGTCGAACAATGTTTCCGCCTTGCAGTTGAGTACTTCGATTTGCCGCTCGCACGGCTCTCCGGAGACCGTAACGGCTCCGCCGGAGAACAGCGGTGTTTAAAGTTAATAATCGATTCACTCGTTCATTCGGTACCTAATTTAGGGGAGAGAGATTCGCAAAATTTATGTCGGTAACATGCCATTCAAATTGGCACACGTTATTCGCGTGACGCGGGTATTTTTTATTTATGCTTCCCTCATTTGATTTCCCACCCTGATTGTTTCGATTCTTTTGAACGCGATTCTTCGTATTGAATTTTGTTACATTTTTACGTGATATATTAATTTTCATTTGGAAATTGTTGGTATCATTTCGCTGAATTGTCTAAATTCTTCTTGCTCATACGATTACCGTGCGAGAAGACTACTATTTCTCTTAATTATTATTTTTTCTTTATATTTGATTGTATTTTTTCTAGCAAAATTATCCTTTTAGTTGTCTCACATTCACACTTTGCATAATATACTTTATTCGCTGTATCAAATTTGTTTTCTTTTATTGGTTACTGTCGTGTGACATGGTCTTCATCAAAAGTGGCCGCGATTTCTGATTGCAGAGTCCATTTGGATGTAGCAGTTTTGCGGATCTGCTGAGCGCTCCGTACACGGATCCTGCGGATGCCGGGAGTCTGCCTGAAGAACTGGATCCTTTTCCGGAACTGCAGCTCGGAAATCCGCAAGGTGTGCCTACGGTCGACGAGTCTGCTCAGTCTCAACAAAGTGTACATCATCAGCAACCGCCGCAACCGCCACCACCACCACCACCCCTTCCGGAAGACGTCCAAGCTGACTCCCTTAGGTACATGGATCGTTCCTAAACTTCTAACATCCTGACATCAACGGACTTAAACTCTCACGATGATTCATCGGGCACAACAATGCAACTACAGTAGTGCGATATCTTTATCACAGATTCTTCTGCTTGAGATTTACATGCGTCGTCGATAACTCTATCATTGTCGATAATTGCTGTTAAAGTATCGTTGTATTTTAGAACGCAGTTCTCGTTGTACTTTAGAACGCAGGAGTTGGACGAATCACGGTGATCTTTTATTCACAGTCCTACACCCCTGCCGAGCTTCCAGGAGACCTACACGGTGCAGCGATACACCAGACAGGAACTCCAGGGTCTCGGCATCAAGATGGACGAGGAATGCTATGAGAACCCAGTGTACTCGTGCGCCACTCATTACCCGACCGACTTCACGGCCGCGGTGCCCTACCACGAGCATCACGGCCAACAGCAACCACAGCAGCAACACCACCACCACCACCACCACCACCATCACCATTCGCAACATCATCAGCAGCAGCAACAGGCCCCGCACCACCATCAGAGTTACTTCTCCGCAGAATCGACGCCTGCTTCGGCAACGGCGGTCGCCCCGCCCTCGAACCATCGACAGGAGTCATCCTATGGGGTCGGTGTGCCCATGCCCATGGTTTACGGAGCGCCTTCGGCCATCGCCAACGTCGCCGCTCCTGTGCCTCCTACCGATCTCTGCCCCAACGTCGACACCGTCGTAGTCGGCACCGCTCGATCGCGAAGGGCGTCATTGCCCACTCAGAGGTCAGAGTCGGCAAGGTGAGACCTTTTACCGAGCGGATACCGAAGATCGTCTCGAAACTCATTGCTCCTCGCTTGAATCGGTGGCACGCCAATATGAGAGGAATCTTTTCGGGTTATTTACAGCCTTCCTCATCCATTAAAGTAGCCGTTAGCAGTTGCTTAGTCGAGTTCATTTTTATAAAGAGGTACATAGGCATGCCTTTACAGTGTTTGTAACTCAATTTTAAGACACGACACACTTGACCGACTGACAGAGTTGACAAATACCCCTTCAATTTCGCTGAGCTTTGTTGGATTTTGCAAACTTCTCGTTTGACGACGATACAATTCCCGTGAGAGCACACAGTGCTCAGAGCGACGCTTCAGGGAAGGGAGGAAGGGGGAGCACGAGACGCGATAGTTTTGGAAAGCAGCATTCTGACTAACGACGGTCATAGATCAATGCGCGTCCTGTGTCGTGTTAACAGTAGTGGGAGCACAGAGTCTCCGAAGCCACGCGGCAGCGGCAGCGGTGGCACCGCGAGTTCCGTCAGTTCGCCGTCGCCCGGAAGCGGCACCAGTGGTGGCGAACGCGCACCCCCGAGCCCGAGCCAACTCTGCGCCGTCTGCGGCGACACCGCGGCCTGCCAGCATTACGGCGTGCGCACGTGCGAGGGCTGCAAGGGCTTCTTCAAGAGGACCGTGCAGAAGGGCTCCAAGTATGTGTGCTTAGCCGAGAAGGCTTGCCCGGTGGACAAGCGCCGGCGGAACCGCTGCCAGTTCTGTCGGTTCCAGAAGTGCCTGATGGTCGGCATGGTCAAGGAGGTAGGTGGCATTATATAATAAACACTGAAATCATTCCCTTCCTCAATGCCGTCTGTCGTTCGCGCTGATCAATCGAGGATAATGTCGATCGATTGCAGTAATGTAGAGAATAATGTCGAGGCCGGCGGAGCAACGATCCGATATTCGCACTTAGATTCGCTAATCTTCTTCGAAGCTTAACGATGAACATTTGCATTGAAATAGATTAAGTGACCGTAAGTTGTACAGCTACTGAGGTAGTCGCGCTAGGTACCTTATTTTTAGTGACACATCATACAGGTTACTTGTAAATTTATTATTTATCAAGCAAGATGCATTAGAATTTATCTAGCAGAGACGTACAGATAATAAAAAGAAATATATATAAGTACTTAAATATGTGTATATATATTTCGAGTATTATACTATAAATTATGAACTTTCCATCGCCACATTTTGAAAATAAAAATGGTCAATAATTTTGAGATTTGTGTATAATATCTCTATATTATCCTTTAATATCATAGTAGTTTATCAAGATCTTAGGTGTAATTTATAAGATATTAAAAATAATTCGCTAAAAAATCTCAAAAGACACGTATAAAAAGTGCCAATTTTCATTGCAAATATATCAGCTCTCATCAATCTTTTACTAGTTGCACGAGCAGTTAGATAATATTTCACTGTATATACGGTGTAAGTTTCATAAAATTGCTACGAAATTCGTTTAATGATACAACTATTTTAAAAAGTGGTCCTTTATTGTTGGACAGGTCGTCAGGACAGACTCTCTGAAGGGACGGCGAGGTAGGCTGCCCTCGAAGCCCAAATCCCCGCAAGAATCTCCACCGAGCCCACCGGTCTCCCTGATCACCGCTCTGGTCCGCGCTCATCTGGACACAACTCCGGACAAGGCGAGCCTTGACTACTCGCAATATCGGCAACCAAGACCAGGCGATCCTCCCATCACCGAGGCCGAGAAGATCCAACAGTTCTACAATCTGTTGACGACTTCGATCGATGTCATCCGGAACTTTGCCGACAAAATCCCCGGTTTCACGGATCTCGTGCGGGAAGATCAGGTAAGGCAGTAATTTTAGACAAAGCGTTCCTTCCCACGCGATTTCTTGATATACATATCAAGAAAGTTTGATAGTTTTCCAAGGAAAAATTCCAATTATAGAGCTTTCATCTCGAAATTTCAATTAACCAGTAGGTTTGTGTCCTGTAATCTTCAACGAAAATATCGTTATTGTTATATTATAGAGCTTCCCTCTACTATGCATTATATCTGTGCAACCCTGCTTGAAAAATCCGATAAGAATTGATAGAAATATATAGAAATTTCATTGAAATACTATATGACTTACTTATATTGTAATTTATTTTTGACGATTAAATATTATAATAGATATGATTGAGTATTTATCTGAACGCACATGTCTTTTCATTTAATTTTATCATTTTTTATTAAAAACACGGTTCAGTTGTATACAGATTTTTCTTGTACGATTCTATCACACTCTTTTGATCAGGGAACAGCAACGATAATGTCGTTAAAAGTTACAGAACAGGCCTCTAGGGCGGATACAACCCGCGAGTTTATCATCGGCTTTTCCTTTTGTGTTCTTCGTAGTCTTCTTTTTTTTTCATTGTCGAGATGTGCGCCAATCTTACAGTCAGCTATATCATGGTCGGATATCGTGGTCGGATATCGAGTCTCAGGCGATATCCATTGGGAACTAGCGGTTATAGAGATCGATAGCTCATACATTTTCTAAAAGGTCAATCTTGACGAGCTTTCGACGCGATCGGCCGCTTGGCTGTCTGGTAGGCTGCTTCGTGCGACGGTAGACGTTAATTTGTTAATATGTCGCTACCAGCGGACATTTTGCCGTCTCAGACTGTTATTGTGTCTAAAGTGGATATTATTCCGTTGACAAGTGAATGCTCAATAAATCAATCAGCGGAATAAAAGAGATGCTGGTGCGTTACATGTTAATAAACGACCAGCTTCGGCGCCATTTATTTCTCGATTTAGCCAGCATGTGTGTGCACACAGAAAAATATCATTCTGTTGCTAAGAAAAGCGATCACTCGGTTTACTTACCCTCTTTACAGTGATGGCTACCTTCAATAAAGGATATCTTCTTTGTCTCACAAAGTACAGTTCTTAAATATACTTATCACAAATTTTGAAAAAACTCATCATTATGTACTCAAAAAAAGAATGTATTCTCTATAATAATATCATAAAACTTTGTCGAAGGGAAAGTTGGTTCGACTGTATGTAACTGAACTTTTGTTTTAATTTAATGTTCTTGATTAAAGTACTAAGTCTACTAAGATTTAAAATATATTTTGAGTATATTTGATGCTTATGATATAAATTTGTGGCGGATATATAAATGAAAATCATGAAATATTGAAGACGTTTATTTGAATCCAATATTTTTCTGTGTGAGTGTACACTGAAAAAAAAATATAGAAAGAATGTATATTTGCAAGATATAAAGTTTATTCACAGAAATTAACATTATTTTACGGAAATAAACTTTTCTCCGTGGAAATAAATTTTATATCCCACAAATAAATTTTCTGGTATCTTTTCCTCAATGTATACAATGTGTGTCTGTCTTTCGTTATATCACTTCATATCGCGGGTTATCCGAGAAGGTGATATTTCATCGTAATTCATCGGCGACACACTTGTGTCACGCTAATTTCGCGATGTAATTTCTGCCATTTCAGGAACTGCTCTTCCAATCGGCCAGCTTGGAACTGTTCGTGCTCAGGTTGGCGTACCGCACGAATCCGGACGACACGAAGCTGGTGTTTTGCAACGGCGTCGTTCTCGCGTTGGAGCAGTGTCAGCGCAGTTTCGGCGACTGGCTGCACAGCATCCTCGACTTCTGCAAAGCCCTTCACTTCTTGGAGGTCGACATCAGCGCCTTCGCCTGCCTGTGCGCCCTCACCCTCGTCACCGGTCAGTGTCGCCGTTACAATTCAATAAACTTCTCCACTCTGCGCTAAATGCACAATTAAGCGAATTGGCACGCACTCGTGCTACCACTATAAATATTAATTGCACAATTAACGTCGCGATTCGCCACTTTCACTTCGTTGCCTCGCCGGGTGGCCCTTTAGCGTTCATGCAGCACAGCACAACGGCACTTTCAATCTTCCTTCGTCCCGTACACCTTGCATTCTAGTTACATCGCGGTCTGTCTACGGGGTAAATAATTAATCCGTCGGCTCAATTAGTTATTGATGTTCCGACGAAAGAAACTGCGATACTCCGCGTTTTGCACGCGATCCGTTGGCGACTGAGCGTGCAGGTGTGCAGTCTGCAAGGGCGTTCAATCGCGGCCTCGATGATTCGATAGCTACGTATCGAAGACTGCCATGATTGATACGCGGTTTTCATGCATAAAGCTTGTTTTCTTCATCTTCAATGTTTAGACTTCTGGTCCGTGAAGCTTTTAACTGATGACGTCAGAAGTGAAAAAATATAGAATTTTGAATTTATTACATTTATTAAATATAGAATCTTGTATTTTCTCGTATCTGCCGCCATAAATCAAGATGGCTGCGACGAAGAAATAGAGGCTTTAACAGCGCAATACGCTCGAGTCTCTACTTACATTAAAGTGTTGTGAATTTGTTGACAAGTACATTGAGAATAAAATACTTGAAAATTTATTTGTATAAATATATTTATTTGTATAGATATAAAATTTATTCATAGAAATAAACTTTATCTTATACAGAAATAAAACATATAAACATTGTATCCCATAAATTAGAATTTTCAAGTGTTTTTTCTCAGTGTATAACTGCTCGTCTTGATCTTTTCGTCATAATCTTTCTCGATGAACTTCGCGAAAATCATCTCGAGGCAACAGCCACAACAACGTTGCTCAAGCTCGTGCGTATACTTGCAGAGAGGTACGGACTGAAGGAGCCGCAGCGCATGGAGCAGTTGCAGATGAAGATCATTTCGTCCTTGCGCGATCACGTGACTTACAACGCCGAGGCGCAGAGGAAGTCGCAGTACCTGTCCTACCTATTGGGAAAGCTACCGGAGCTGAGGAGTCTCTCGGTCCAGGGCCTCCAGCGGATCTTCTACCTGAAGCTGGAGGACCTGGTGCCGGCGCCGCCCCTGATCGAGACGATGTTCGTCGGTAGCTTGCCCTTCTAATTGCCCTCCGAGCCGAGCCTATGGCTTGCCAGCACATAGAACAATTACTTACTTTCAGACCCGTGCGGTTGCGTTATCTTTGTTCTGATTGCATCCTTCTTTAGTTCGTACACACGTAGCTTGATTCTTCTCTTGCGTGTAAGACCTCGTGCGATCGCGTGGAGTTACGCTCGGACCTTGACGCCCTGATGGCCGCTTCCCATCCGGAGGAGCACGGCTCGAGGGTCTCGTCGAGAAAAAGAAACAGAGAGCCGTTAACTGGTCGAACGGACGAGCACTGTCCGCGCGGATTCCACGCGGACGCTAACATTAAGGGAAAGTTTATTGTATGTACGTATGAGAGAACGGATGAACGAACGGACGAACGAGTGAACGAACGACTGCACGTGGATACGAGCGAGCGAATGAATGTGTGTGCGTCTGTGTGTGCGGTGTATGTGTGTATTATGCGCGAATGTGAGTATATAGAACGCCTGGAACGCAGGTCTCTGCGTGCGTGGCCGTGTCGGGTAGTAGGCCGTCGTCCGCTGTTACTATTAGTAGTGCATTACTGCTGCTGCTATTGCTGTTGCTGCTACTGTTGCTGCTGCTAACATCGTTCCATCGACGTGTGCCGCAACGGCCGTCGGTCGTTACTGGCTAACGCGGCCGATACGTACGTGGTAGCTTCGGCGGCTCCGACGCAACGCAACGGCAATCGCGAGCGAAGAAGGAAAGCAACCGGCCGCGAGTGTAAAACGAACGAGGCGAGTCGCGGACGGATATGTGGCGTGTTTCGCTAATCTCCCTTCTAGCTGTAGATTTCGTGCGGACTCGGGTGGACAGGAAGGAGGGGCTCCTCTCGCGGGCTCACCGCGTGAAGGACGCGAATTTTTCTCACTTTTCTACCTAGTTTGTACGAGGCTCTCCATGTGCGAGCGCGCGCGCGCACATACGCACGCACGCGCGCACGCACACACGCATTCACGTCGAGTTCTCCTCGGCTCGCCTCCTTGTCGCTCCCCACGGCCGACTACCCGCTCGCTACCCGCCACTTCTCAACCACGTGTATTACCTTCGGCAATACCTTGCCCGTCGCGGGGAAACGCATTGGCGATTCGCAACATATCAGAGCAACGGCGGAGAGGGCGCGAGAGACCCTTCGACCCTCCCGTCTTGACAGTAGACGTAGGATGTGACTATATTCAGTCGCGCTTTCAACGCCGCCGGACGATGCCGAGTGTAGACGCGTGTCGGGGGATGCGTTGCGCTTGTCTCGCATTTTTTTCAACGCGTGTTCCCCAAAAGCAATCGCCGCGGTTCCGTGTTTTGTCGCGAATTCAGTGTTCTCGTCTTTCTCATTTAGACCATTCATACACATACATACATACGCACATACATACACACGTCTCTCTCTGTCACGATAACGTGCTCTTTGAATTCTAGAATTGAGTCGACGTTTGGAAGAGCAATAAATCATATTCGCGCTGATGGAAACTGGAGTACAAGCGAGAGCCATGAATTCACGCGCATTCGAAGGCTGTAGTATAGTAAGCGAGCACGCGTCCCTAGAGTATCTCTACGTGCTAATGAAAAATGAGTTAGGAGTGGCGCTATTATTTTATGAGTTCAAAACGGGACTGTGGAGAAGTTATTCTGCTGGGTATATCGCAATCGTAGTATTTTTATAGACACTTTTTACACATTTTACACTGTCATCGTGCGTTAATCGCAAGTTCATGAAGGATTCAGCAAATATTTTAGAGAGCCCGCGATTCATGAAGCTCCTTCCCTCTCTCGCGCGCACTCTTGGCACACTCGCGAACTCATTCGGCATCGTCGGCGCCGCTGAAGCGTCGCGTCTGTGGCGCGTGGTCGATGTCGATATCGACCCTTTACCACTACTCTTGCGTTTAATGTGATTTTAGAGAGCTAAGGCGAACAACACGGGTCCGCCTCGTTCGGGGGCCGAGAAGAAAGAGAGAGCGTCTTGCGCGACGGCGAGGCGGGCCCGGCTTAAAGTTACCTATTACGTTATGACATTTACTTTTAATCAAACTAACGTAGAGTGTCCTATTTATATACGTATAACGCGCCGCTACTACTACTTAACTATTACAACTACTATACTTTACTATACCGTTACTTACTACTACTCATTGATAGCGTTACTATTCTATGACGTTACTACCACTACTACCACTGTTACCAGCGCTACCTTTTACTACCACCTTGTGTTACCATTGTCTCGCTACAGTAAGCTTCGCCGTCGCCGTCGTCATCGTCGTTGTCGTCGTCGTCGTCGTCGTCGCCATCGTTAAAGCGCCCTTCATTGCACCTTCAGTGCCCTTCGACCGACGCCTTCGACAGACGACAGAGGATGCTGGTCGGATCTCTTCAAGCGAGCGTCTTCGCCGGCGGGATCACCGCAGTCGACACGCATCTCTGTTTTCAGTGTATATCTTGATATTTTATCCACGTTCAAATACCGTAAAAGTACCGTGAAGTTGGATCGTACCGCCGACGGTGACTTTGCATTGCAGTGAAAAGAGATCCTGTGATTAATTGTTTCAGTTCCGAATTTCTCCGAGTGGAAGCTCTGAAATATTCTTTCTCTCTCTTTCAGTTCCGATTGATTCTTTAAATTGTCAAGAAAGAACATTTCATTGCTTTTTTCCAGCTTATCGTGATGCACCATGAGAGAAATATTTTAATATTAATTTATTTTGGCGAGATATAAGGTTTCTTGACAGAGATAAACTCTGTATCCTACAAATAAATTTTCAAGTATTTTTTTCTCTGTGTGTGCAACTACAGTTTTATTGCTCAATTCGACCGAGTGCTGCAAAATTATTTTGATCAATAATCGAGGATCGAAACATTAAGATACACTATATGTTTCTCAAGAAAGTTGCTTAAATCTAATGCATGCAATTCGGAACAATAGTCTATAATCTACGGCGTTAACATCATCTATAGTTGCTTCCTAACTACCAGTCGATTATCTTCTCAGACGTTATTGAAGTCCTCTTCTCGAAGAACTGTTCGATGCAAAGTTACCTCTGCCAGTGCAATCTTACGAATAACCACCGCCGCTATCGCAACGCGATCCGAGTTTCGTAACTCGACAGATCAGGCATTGTCTTTACGCCGTGATCTACATAAAAACGCGACACACGCGCACACACATACACACAGATACACATACATATACAGAAACCACATTAATTACCTATACGTGCACAATAGATACGATAATTACGTGTGTATATGTTAATCTAAAGCCGTGTACATCCGCAAATGTCCGACGCCACGTGAACTGAGTGGAATCGACTCGGGTCGACTTCGTCCCTCATCAGCTCTCTATACGATTATGATTCCTCGAATTAACGTGTCTTACATTCCGTATTTCGCGGCATCACACGCAACGAAGTTATACGGAAGAAATTAAACGCTCGCGCACGCAGTTTCGCCGCTGGAAACGGAAGTCGTCTCTGTTCCATCTTTGACCGTGATTGCCCCGGTTCTTTCGCAAGCCATCGCGATATACTTCGAGAATTCTTCTACGACTCTAGTTATTAACTTAAAAATTAATGCTTTGCGGCCTGGAAAGTTTAAATATTATTCCGCATCGAGACAATTCTGCGCCCAAACGTAATTAATTTGGAAGATCGAAGCAAGTTTTCTGTCATACATTGAGAGAACAAGATCGGCTAAAACGAATCTGAAGTTGAGCGAATTTGATTGCATCGGCTGTGTAATCGAATCGAATAAAAATTGAACCTGTTCAATAGTCTAACGTAGGAATTTTAACTCAGAAATTCAGTCAAATGCAAAAGGTTGATAGAAGTACTAAGATATAGTTACACGGACGCTATAAATGTTCTTTCAACTGACAAAAAAGGCTGATTTAACTGCATAGTGTGAGTAATTTCATCTTTGGATGGAAATTTTCTTAAGTAAATTAGACATTTAGAAGCACATTGAACTGATGATTTTGGTAAATGGACGATTTAAATATTACGTTATTCTCTCTGATAATACTATGCAGCTCATTCAACTCGGGAGAAAAGTTCGACTTCTTACTTATTGTTACATTTGACAACTCGCTTTGGTTACTTCTCTCAATAGTCAAGTCAACATCGAATTTAATCAAGTTTACTGAATACTCGTTCGATATAAATCAGAGCATCAAAATTATGCTGAAAGAGTTAAATTAATGCGTCGTGTGCGACCCAGAAATTGAGCTCGCTCAACTCGATTCTAGCTGTATCAATCAATATTTTTTTATATAGTGCACAAAATCACATATCCGAGAAAAAAAAATGCGCAATGATACTTAATCGCCCAGAGTTTAAATGGACGAAGCAACATTGGCCGTGAAGGATTAACCAGTAATTGTGGTATTACTACGTGTTAATAATTGTTACAAAGAGGCGATGTGCTGCGGGGCTCGCCATAGTGATTCACTTCGACACGCTCGTGACGTAATGCGAGATTTCCGGTTGTTTCGCGATATCCGCTCATTTCCAATCTAGAAAATGATAGATTCGCGAGGCAGTTAATTTACATCGCGGAAAAGGAGACACGCTATTGCTCCAAAATGTTCATTTCGGACGTTCTACAGCGGCGCCGGGAACATTATGCAAAATACTCTGTAATGCATAACATATCCGCCGTAATACGCTTATCACACATGGCGAGCGCAGCGGACATTGCTGTTACAGTGGCCGATATCAGCGCGATATCTCCTATAACGCGAGCATAGCGTTGCGCGCACACGAGCACACGCGATAACGGCTTAATTAATCTCGATCTATTTAATGTTCCAATTATACGCGCGAAGGGACACGACAGAAATTCCGTTTCTCACGAGCGAAGCCTGCGGTATCGCCGTAAAAATCCGAGTCGATGGGTGACGCGTCAGATCCTCCCCTTTGGACAGGGAGCGACAGGAAGGGGCAAATTGTGCTCCCCTGAGAGAGCGTTTTCACGTGCGCCGGTTTGATCCATTAACTCGTCCACGTTTGCGGATGGATACGCGTGCAAGTGTTCAAAAGACAAAATGCCCGGTGAGAATGCAAGGTAAACAGGATCCGAGGGTGCAAAGGCTGGGCGACCCTTGCGATCGAAATTAGGGTAACACGGGCAAAAGCGTCGACTCTGTTACTTGTTCGAGGATCGTGCGAGAGATACCAAACATTCGGAAGCGCTTGCTCTCGCTGGGAAAATCGTTTCGCGCCGCGAAGTCGATAGCAATAAGCATCTAGAGGGCTGTTCTTACTTAAAATAGCACAGACGGTGCCAATGAGCCGCCAAGATATTTTATAAGGGAGATGGACGATAGTTTTTACGAATTGTCGTTTGAAGACGTTTAGAGGCGTGAAACTGTTTACATATGAAAGGACACTAGTCACTTAACGACGTTACTGGTCTGTGAATCTCGCCTTTAGAATTTCTAAAAATGAATACCTCTTAAGAGCGTGCAAAGTCGCTTAGCATAATTACGTGAAATCGTTGCAAAAATATCTCTAGGCGTATAGGGAGAATGTTAAGGCTTGAGCTTGGAATATTTGCGAAACCTGGCTGTTTCCTGATGAATATAAATATTTTTGTCCGTCCTGTGCGCGCGAAGATGGGCAATCAATGATAGACCAGTTGGGCGGGAATTGAGCAGAAGATTCTGGCTAAGATGAAAGCGAGAAGTAAAATTGAGAGAGAAGTAAAAGTAATAATTTTGATATAATTCAGATAAAAAAGTAATAATTTTGTATCCATGCGATAAAACAAGCAGTGGTCATTGGCACCGACCTGTCGCAATATAAGAAAAAAGCAAAAAAAAAAACGAAAAAAGATAAAATCGTTTTTCATATTTGTAAGAGACGCTCCGACGCGATCGGAATTCTCGAGGACGAGCGCTTTGGCCGAGACTCGCCTTATCCTCTTCTCATATCAAGCTTCATCTTTTGACGGGATCCTCGAGCAGGGGGATCGACTTGTTTTCGTCCGTGCGAATAAAGTGTTGAGTCCAGTGGAGATTTCGGGAGAGGAGTTATCATCGGTCAGATGAAGATCGAGTTCGAGGTCGAGATTTCGCAGAGGGCTCAACTAGAGCGAGGAAACCCCAAGTTCCAGCCTCCCCCGTGCGGAGGGTGGAATGGATTCGAGGCGCGACGTGTGTTTTTGTTCCTACGCATATGTAGCTATGTATAAATATGTATATTTTTTCTTTTCTCAACGAGAGTCTGCGCGAAAACAAGCGCGAGACTGATGTGTCTTCCGCTCCTGATCGCGAAAAATCGTCCCTGGACCCAGCGCTGCGGCGAATTATTTTTTACGAGAAACTCGTCATAGGGAGGACAGGCGAGACAGGAGGATACGCGAGGAACAGGAGGAAGAGCGGGGGAGGAAGGGCAGGATCGTTCGGGCATGATTATATGGTGGGAGTCGTCGCTCCCGCGCGACGGAACGAACGAGATCGTCCTGACATTGTTGTTTAACCGATTATCTGTCATTGCTGTAACGAAATAACAGTCAATTCCGTTAGGTGTATAAAATTCCCCTTTCCCCGTTTCATCGATGTATACAATAAATGTTCGATCAACAGATTATTTAATTCTCTCCGAAGTTTTGTTAATAAATTATTTCTCGATCGACACACATCGCAACTGAGTTTATTCGAGGACGATTTATCGCTGGTTAATGAAGCGGCGTGCGTTCGTGTGTGCACAGGGTGTCATCCCCTCGTGAAAATTACACGGAAACTGAAAATTATACGGAAACTGTCGGTCCTTCGTCAAAATGATGGAGAGGTAACTACGAGAAGAGAAAACACACGAATGCGCTGTACTAATTTCTTTTAAACTTTCCGGAGAGAGTCCGCGATTGGTTTTCGATTTCGATAGAGTTCCTTCTGAAGAAGTTATTGGGCTCTTTCTATCTTAAGTACAGCTAATTGTCTTGGTGTTATTTCAGACAGCACAGTGCTTTTTTCGACACGTGTTAATTCATACATTTTTCATCGAAAATATTTTTCTCTTATCCTCACCGCAGAAAGGAACACGTTTGTTTCCTATAAAAAATATTAATTGTATAGTTACTTTATTCTTGCAAAAAAATAATTGAAGCATAGATATAGTGTATTCAATCATATACTTCTTCTCTTTCTGTAAATCTCAACCACAGGCACAATACTCTCGCTACAATATACGCTACTCAGATTCTTGTTCAGAATTAAATCCAAATTTTCCAGTTGAATTATGTGATATTATATCTATAATTACGATTCAACTGAATAGCTTGTATCTAACTCTGAACTGAAATCTGAGTATCTCATCTGAAATTTACTTCAGGCGAGATATTTGAATTTAGAGTTAGATGTGAGTTTGTCAGCCTTATTATTAGCGATCTTTCCAAGATTATATGATGCAGATAAAAATCTCAAACCTAACTCTAAATTCGGATTTGAGTATTTCACGTGGCATAAGTTTCTGGTAAAGACTATTAATAATACGGAGCTTAATAAGGATTCAATTTAAATTAATAGATTTAGTCTAAATTAGTGGTTTGCGCATAAGTATTACGTTTTGACGAATCAGATACGTTTGACGAATAGATTTATTTGCGTTTCGAGATATGAAATTCTCTTCAAAATTACGAGGTTTTGTTTCCCAATTAATTTTCACCGGTCCACTCTGTCGTACGAACGTCCGCACGCTCGACTAAAGACTCGCATTTATAAATATGTACAACACAATGTACACGTGCATATATAACACATATGCATATATGAAGGATGAGCGTTGCACCGGAAATAAATCTACTCAGTTAATTAATTAACGCAAATAAATAAATAAACAAACAAACAAACGGACACACACATACACACATATGCTTTTACACAGGTAAACAGTGCGAACGGCTGCCAGCCATTGTTCACGTAAGTTTAGAAAGTGGATTCGCACTAAAACTACTAGTTATTCCGACTTATTGTCGATCTTTCTCCTTCCCCTTTCTTACACGCTGCGTCTCATATGACGCAGACGATCGTATGTATTAATCGCGAAACCAAACAAAGCGAGGAAAGTCGAAGGAAACGACGAAAACGTCGGCGTGTCGATAGGGCTGAAAAGTCGGAATTGCGCGCCGCGCGAGGTCATTTGATCCCACTGTACAATTGCGCGATTGATGCGCCAGAGGAAAACGAAAAAATGGATAATGAGACGGAGAGAAAGTGGCGACAGGTGTAACTTCGAGGAGTGACAATAAAGAAATCACGAGAGAAGGATACTCTCGGCGCGTGATCGTCGACCTTTTCATCCTAACGACCGTCGAACACGGCGGCGTGTTGCATTATATCATAATGAATATGTTACTGTGTAATATTGTATTAGAGTATACTACACACACATAAACACACACATACACACAAACACAGATATGTATACATGCGCGCACATTTATGAAACCTTCTTTCCGGCCTGATTCGTTGTAATTCTGTGCCGAGCCACACACAGTTTCCTCTCTCGCTTGAAATAATATATAAATAAATATATAAAGAAATATATAAATATATAAATACAGATATACATAAATAAATATATATATATATATACATAAAAATGAATAAATATATTATATATACGTATATAAATATATATATAAAAAAATATATATAAATATATACTTTCGATATATGACGAGGATGCAGTTTAAAGGCAAGACATGAGAACAAAAAAAATTATAACGATTATATTTTATAAATAAAAAATTGACATGTGATATAGATGGTAAGGCACGCGAGAATGCGTTGCGATGCATTACGAAAGCAAATGTATTCTGTATATCGTTTCATTAAATCTACTAAAACGATCAGTCAACTGAGAGTCTTTTATGCCCTTTCTGCTCGAAATCTTCTTACCTTTTCTCTTCGTTTTTCTCTCTTACTCTCCATCTTGGTTCCCCAAAGCAATTCACGGTACATCAGACAATAATTCAAGGATGGCATTTCGAGTCGTTCCCATCCTTGAAACCTTAGGGAAGCTCGCAGTTATGCGCATCTAGCGATGGTTCTAACACATTGATACCGCTTTTCAAATATTGCAAATACCGCTTTCAAATTCAAATATGCGAGTGAACACTGTAGACTCAGACGATGTTGCTCTTCCACTTAATAAGTAATCTGTTCCTTTCAGCTGCACTGCTTCACTGGTGCAATAAGTTAAAGTAAGATAAAATATATTTGTCTCATTCTAACTTGCACCAATGCAGCAATGCGCTGAAAAGAACAGACTTAAGCTTGATTTACGGGCGCTTTCATTAGCAATCAGCAAATGCGAAGAAGTATGAAAGATAAAACTGACCGATCGATTAATCGATTACAGCGAAAGTAGATGCAATTCGAATAACATTTCGAATAACAAAGACCTAAAGTTGGATTTTCGTGAATATATGAGAAAAAGGTGAGGTATATACATGACATTTTTTTAAGGAAATATACTCATGGATCTTGTGTATAACGATATGTTACAAACTTCTTTCAACTCAAACACTCTGTGAATTTGAGTTAGAGGAAAGTTCTCATTATTATTATCACATTGATAATCACATCTTTGCGCATTGATCGGACAATAATTATGGTTATCAAACGATCGTTGCCATACAACTTAATTATAGGTTACAGCCGTATTGAATAGATACACGATTTATTACTCTTAGCAATCGTACGTCAACCGTGTCACTACTATTCTCTACTAATTACGTCGTTCGTCTCAGGAGATTTCTGTTGGGTAACAAAGTGACAGTTATTGAGCCGTTAACATTCCAATCATATTGCACCTAATGACTTGACATTAAAAGTACTGAGATTTGTATATCTCTTAGAACGACTTAGACGTTTGTTTCTTTAATTGCATTGGAATTATACTTAAACGAAGGTAGGACACACGAGGACAGATACATTTTCACAAGTACGAGAATATAAAAAAAGGCAAAAGAAGCAGTAGTGCAGTTACTGATAATTGCACTAATATAACGGCGTTATAATTTTGTGCGTCAAGAAATAATTTATAAAATAATTTATCAATTGCTTTATTTCTCTCATCACATACAAATCTAAAATTATGCATTTGAAATTAAAGATTTATTTTACTCATGAAAAATTAGTAAAATTTAACACTTTTGGAGACTGTGAAATTTCTGCAAAAATAATGACAACAAGATGTTTCTAGAAGAATTTTACAACTTATAGTCTTCAATTTAGAGATACATGTTCGAATATAAGGTTTACACATTACATTACTATAAGAATATATATTTAAATCGTTAAATATTACATTTTTTATGAAGTCTGTCAAGTTATATTACAGAAGTTGTAAACAGAAAATGTTACGTAAATAACGCTTACATAGCTTGAAATCGCAGATCTTCCTCTTTAAATCGCATACCTTTTGAAATATCTTTTAAATGAAAATTGTAATACCATTTTCTTTCTTAATTATTTTTTTACTTTCTAATTACTTAACTGAATTTTGACGTTAACACAATAAATATTCTTTCAGTTTTAATCACTTATAAAAAGCGGACGAAGCAACGTACGATGTGTTTACTATGTAATTATTAGAAAGCTTTAAGTTTTTTCTTTAAAATACGTATTTTACACTTTTGATAAAAAGTTTTTGATTTGATATGTAGAAATTCAATTACAAAATAAAGTTTAAAATTAAATAAAATTTGCGACTTCTTATATACGAGACTATACTTGATAAAAATGAAAACAACATTATAGTTTAAACATATAACAAAAACTGGAAACTTTATACTGTAAAATGTTTCTCGAACCATTTTGTTATCGTCATTTTTTCCAAAGTTATAGTCCATTGAAGTTTGCCTATTTTTCTCTCGACCCTGACTCTTCATTAAAGATGGTAGCAACTCATAGAGCGAAGATTTTAGAATTACACTTTGGAATAAAAAACTTTCTAGATCTGACTACAAAATTCCAAAGATACTATATAAAGAAGAGCTTGAGAATTCTATAAAGAAAAAAAAAACAAGAAGAAGAAAAGGTCCATAAAAGTTTCTTGAAACGATTTTTCCGACGCGCCCTCTAAAGAAGTGGATATAAAACATATCAACTACACCAACCTTTCTATATTATCGATTAAATCTTTTGGTTCGTGTCTGTACTATATTCAGAAAATTAGAATTTATAAATAAAATTAATTTCTTGGTATATAATTGTCTGTTTACACACGTACTCTTAGTACAGCTTAACAAACATCATTAAAATTAAAATTTTGTATTTATCGAACCTTGATTCGTATAGCATTATAAATAAGCACTCTATGAGGACTTTTATATTTAAAAATAAATGCAGAAAATAGACACTAAAATTTATAAAATATTTAAACTATTATATTATTATTAGCTTTGCCAAAGTTATAACATGTTGAATCTTATTAATTTTTTGTTTTTAATTAAACTATACATTTGAAAATTTAAAAAAATATAAATTTAAAAATAATATTAAAACTTAAAAAATAGTAAAATTTCAAAATACTATAACTCTCTCCCTCTTTCTCTTTTTTCTATATTTTTTTTCTATATTTTAAAACAATAAGCGGCTATCAGAAATTAATGTATGATTATTGTATAATCGATTATTTGGATCTCTTTTTTTGCAATATAACAAAATATCATTAAAAATTTGGTTTTTTTCTTGTTAAATTTTCGTGAAGGCAAAGGGACTCCGAGAGGCTTAAAGATAATTGAAGAAAAACGACATTACCCAATCAGCACAAGGACGTTCTCAAGACGTTCAAGAAGAGATTTGAAGACGTTTTCAGAAACGTCCGGATGAAAGCCTCACGGAGAAAATAGGACGTCCTTAAATGGTCCACAGGACCACTAGTAGAAGACGTCCTCAGATAGTCCACAAGACATGTTGAGAACAGCACAAGGACGTCCTCAGGACATCCCGTGAATATGTATACGTACTAATTAAGTATCGACCAGTTTTAATTATTTAATATAAACATTTAGACATATGACATATATATTTAACTTAAACATTTAGAATATGTAATAAAGTATTAATTTTATAAAATCTTCTTCATCAACTATTTTGATGTTTCTATGTGTATATACAGATCTATGTGTATATACAGATCTACATATATTTAACATTTAATTCATGAAATTACATTTCTGCAATTATCTCCATTGTTTGTCAGTGAACACAAGTTCATCGACAAACTTACTAGCAGGAGGTTATTAAATAGTGAAATTTTCTATTACGCTAAATCCTTTAAAGCCAATGAATTTTAAGTATTACCTCGTCGAAATATTACCTCTATTTCGAACATTCATATCAAAAGACCCGCCATCATAACGGCCATTCTGCGCACGACTGCGCGGCTAATGCATTATACTGTCGCGCCACCAAGTGGTGAGCTCGTGGCAGCTGCGCGTGCGCGCTAGGTGCATCCGCGCGCGCGGAGAAAATAGTCCGCACTCACAAAGACATAACACTGTCGCGGTTGAAAAAATGCGACGATAGTTTCACATTTGGGAAAATCGCCGCCTCGTCATTGCGTCATTCGTCATGAACGGCGTCGCGTTTCCGCGTCCCTCATGTCGCGTATCGGACTGTTCATGCGGAGCGGGCGCGAGAATATCAAAGGTGTGAGTATCACTACGCCGCACGTTGCTGCGCTGCGTGACGGAAACGAGCGCGCGCCAAGGGGAGCAAAAGAGGAAGAAGAGGGAGACAGGCTGCGCGACGGCTCGGCTCGGCGCGAGTGAGAAGGAGAGAATCGCCAGGCAGCAGGAAGTGGGCGTCTAGGTGGGGGGGGACATCGAAGGCAGTTGATTCGGTGGTGGCTACATGTGGGTATCCGCCGGTCGCGACAAGGAGATATTTCGTGCTAGGGAGCAGATACAAAACTTCTTCCTGCTGTATCGCCGAGGGACGGGTACTGTGACGAGCTGCGCGATCGAGAACACTTCACCGTAGCCATGCAGATGGATCCAACGACGCTGCAGCTAATCCAGGTCCTGGAAAGGACCGTCTCGTCGGGTGAGTGCGAAACCGAGAGCGAGACCTCCGCCGTGTCCATCGTGCCGTCACGACGTCATGCACGACACCGGCCCGCCGTTTTCGCCTGGCCGAGGTTCTCGCGAAATCTCGCTCGTCGAACAATGGAGCGCGATCTCTGCCGTGCTCGCGCGCACGAAAAACGATCTCGAGTATGAGTACGTCGCGGCCGTGTGTGCACGTTACCCCTCTCGTTCCGGCAGATTAGTCACAACGTGCACAACGTGGCTGTCCACCGCGGACTCGCAGGCTCGCATCGCGCGTTCCTCGCCGTTGCGCTTGCCGTTGATGCGAACGGATAAGATCGCGGGCCAGCTCGGAGCACGGCGACGCGCGATATCGTGTTCTGGCGGACTGTTGCTAGGCGCTTTGTTCGCCGCGGGAAAACTATTGTCCTGCGTGACGGTTGCTCGCGTCCGCACGTCGCTGCATGACGATACGCATCGGGCAACGCGTCCTGCTCGTCTAACCTACAATTCGCGAGCGATTCGCCGTCCTGGGAAAGTAAAATGTGTCTGTTCGATTTGCAGATAAAAATGAGCTGGTGGCTGCCCAGAGCTTTCTCCAACAAGCGGCTGATGCTAATCTCGTGAGTAACTGTAACCATGTGTATTTTAATTGTGCTTCCTACAGTAAAGGCGATGCTCATCCCGATCGTTCCTTGACCTTATGTGTTTCAGCATGAATTCGTACAACGACTCAGCGCTGTGCTGTTCACAGTTGGCGCGAGCCCCATTGCCCGTATGGCAGCGGGCTTACAGCTCAAGAACCAACTTACCTCCAAGGACCCTGATATGAAATTCCAGTATCAGCAACGCTGGCTTGCTATTCCTGCTGAAACAAGGGAATATATCAAGAAAAATGTAAGTATCAGGTACATTTATTGTACCTTGCTTCGCTGTTAATGTTTCGCTTTGTTTACTGAACCTGTTTCCACCGATATCGATGGAACTTTAATCTGAGCTTAAAATTCACATGGAAAAAAAGAAAGATGTGGTGCACATAGTCAGAGATATTTAGTTTGCAGTATAGTTGTTTCATCCTGGTTATTTTTGTTACATCAATCTCTAGTGGTAGTAATGTGTATGGCTGATTTGATACATCAACTGCATCAACGCAGTTGCTTATGTGATCTGGTTAGCAACCAGAAATCTGTTGTGCAGACATTTATCGTGGGTGCACACTTTTAGTTGGAGCAATCAGATCATCATTGCTACAAGGCATCCTAGTAATTCAGTAATGTGGTTGCAACAACCACACATAATTTGTTGTTCTGTAACCTACTATTGAATCTGGTTAGTACAATCAGATTTATGTGTGGGTTAAACATACTGTTTTTTGTGTAGATGAAGATTTAAGTGATCCATTGATAAAAACAGGCATAAGTTTGTTAAATAAAGACAGCATTTGTTTATATTTTTATATTATTGATAACTATGTTCAATTTATTTTTGATAATATAAAGTAATAATAAAATGTGAAATAATATAACAAATTTACATCGTAATACATGCATGTTACTTGTGTACGATATATGTCAATATTATGTCCAATATTGCATGTGCTATATAAATTGGAAACTGTGGGAAGATAATGTTTTAACTTCATCATTATCTACTTCTCTCCTGCTTTAGATATATTAATGTTAAATACTATTTAGATCTTTAATATCTGTTTTGGATTATGCAGAGTGTAGTCCAAATAGAAATATGTACAAAATATTGTGTCACCTTATTGACAATTTATTGTGTCACCTTATTAAAATATTTATTATTGAATGTTCGTATTAATATAGAAATTTTCAAATATACAAGTCATTTTTCTTGTAAGTGACAAAGCGGGACGTTTGCTCTCTTACAGATTTTAGGAGCGTTAGGAACTGAGAACAATAGGCCAAGTTCTGCGGCGCAATGCGTCGCTTACGTCGCTGTTGCTGAGTTACCTATGGGGCAATGGAATGAATTGATAGAGGTGCTACTCAATAATGTCACCAACCCGTCCAGTACCGACATAATGAAGGAGGCCACTCTAGAGACTATCGGATATATCTGCCAAGAGATCGAGAGCGAAGTATTAGTATCACAATCAAACCAGATTCTTACTGCTATTATTCACGGCATGAATGGTTCGGGTACGTCGAATCATGTTAGATTGGCGGCCACAAGCGCGTTATATAATTCGCTCGAGTTCACCAAAGGAAATTTCGAGAAAGAGGTTGGTATTTTGCATGTAAATCTTATACACCTTGGCATAATAAGTGATGAACATCGTTTGAATAATTTCTACTTCTACTTACAGTCAGAGAGAAACTTCATCATGGAAGTTGTGTGCGAAGCCACTCAGTCCACTAATACACAAATCAGAGTAGCTGCATTGCAGTGTCTTGTGAAAATTATGTCTCTCTACTATCAATACATGGAACCATATATGGCACCAGCACTCTTTCCTGTAAGTGCTAGACAATTCAATTAATAAGAATCAATGTTATTCATAATTGGGAACACAAAAAACGAACTCGCTTAGATAACGAAATTAAATTTGACTGTTGCATTATACATCTCTAAGATGTACTTATTTGCATTTCTCCTTTATTATTTTTCATATCAATTTATTATATGAAATTGAAAGAAGAAATTAATTTTTTAGTAAAATAATACATGACGAGTTTGAAAAGCACGAAAACCTCGTCATTTTTTAAAATTTGTTAAGTATTTTTTAATGAGATTTTTTAAGTACATCTAGGAGATGTATGAAGTTATATTAGTATCCTTCTGTCTTCAATCTATACAGATAATTATCAGTGTTAAACGAGAAGAAATATTATCATAAAGGAAGATTAGCTTGAGACACTCACTTCAAAATACATTTTGGAATAACTCCATGATAATTTTTTGCAATGCCATAGTCAAGTCCGAATTTTATTTTTGCAAATTCAAAATAATTCTTTAACTGAACGCATGAGATACATAAATATTGACGAAACCTTTGTTCTGTCTCAAAATTTTAAAATAGTATTGATTGTATTTCGTAAGATGGTGCTTTGTTATTATACTATGGATATGTATTTACTGATGAACGTTTTGTTATAGATTACCTTGGAGGCTATGAAGTCTGATATCGATGAGGTGGCACTGCAGGGAATTGAATTCTGGTCGAATGTATCTGACGAAGAAGTCGATTTGTCGATGGAAGAAAGCGAAGCATCGGAAGGATGCCGGCTGCCGTTAAAGGTCTCGCGACATTACGCTAAGGGGGCTCTACAGTTTCTAGTGCCGGTGCTCATGAAAAAGCTAACTAAACAGGAAGAATTTGACGATGAAGACGATTGGAATCCTTCTAAAGCCGCTGGTGTCTGTTTGATGCTGTTGTCCTCTTGCTGCGAAGAGAGTATCGTTCCATTCGTTCTTCCATTCGTTAAAGACAATATCAAGAGCCCTGATTGGAGGTATAGAGATGCGGCTCTGATGGCTTTCGGTTCTATCCTAGGAGGATTAGAACCCACCACCTTGAAACCGTTGGTGGAACAAGCTATGCCCACCCTTATCGAATTGATGTACGACAACAGTGTGGTCGTTCGAGACACGGCTGCGTGGACGTTCGGCCGTATTTGCGAGATCATTCCAGACGCCGCGATAAACGAAACTTACCTGAAGCCGTTGTTGGAATCCCTGGTAAATGGACTGAAAGCCGAGCCGCGTGTCGCTGCGAATGTGTGTTGGGCGTTCACGGGGTTGGCAGAGGCAAGCTATGAGTCCGCGGAGGCCACTGAGGACGGCAATCAGCCAGAAACTTATTGCATGTCTCAGTACTTCGATTTTATCGTTCAACGACTCTTGGAAACTACGGATCGACCGGATGGAGCGCAGGCGAATCTGAGATCTGCCGCTTACGAAGCGCTGATGGAGATGGTGAAGAACTCGCCGCGTGATTGTTACGTGACCGTGCAGAAGACCACAATGGTGATACTGGAGAGATTACAGCAAGTACTACAGATGGAGTCGCATATACAAAGTCATTCGGATCGTGCTCAGTATAATGATTTGCAGTCTCTTTTATGTGCAACTCTACAGTCAGTACTACGTAAAGTTACTGCTGAGGATGCGCCGCAGATATCCGACGTAATCATGACCGCACTGCTAGCCATGTTCAGCTCCAATTCTTGCAAGGCAGGTGGTGTTCAGGAAGACGCACTCATGGCTGTCTCCACTCTCGTCGAGGTGCTCGGCGAAGGTTTCTTGAAATATATGGAGGCATTTAAGCCGTATCTTTGCCTTGGTTTGAAGAATCACGCGGAATATCAAGTATGCTGCGCTGCGGTTGGTTTAACTGGCGACATCTGCCGTGCCCTCAAGAGTAAGATGTTACCCTATTGCGACGAGATCATGACACTGTTGCTCGAGAATCTTGGCAACAACGCGGTCCACCGGTCGGTGAAACCCCAGATCTTCTCGGCCTTCGGCGATATCGCGTTGAGTATTGGTCCAGAATTCAAAAAGTATCTGGACGTCGTGCTGCAGACCTTGGTGCAGGCGTCGCAGGCTAACGTTGACAGAAGCGACTACGATATGATCGATTATCTGAACGAATTGCGTGAGGGCGTGCTCGAAGCTTACACTGGCATAGTCCAGGGTCTTCGTGGAGATGCGAACAACTGTCCAGACGCCGCTATCACTTTTATCGAGCCGCATGTGCCGTACATTTTGCAATTCATTACCGCCATAGCCCAAGACCGCGAGCACTCCGAGGGTAACGTGTCAGCCTCTGTGGGCTTATTGGGTGACCTCGTTACCGTGTTTGGAGCCAAACTACTGCCGATGGTAGAAACCGAGCCGCTCAACGAGCTGTTGACCAAGGGTCGGAAATCACGCACTCATAAAACTAAAACTTTGGCAACCTGGGCCGCAAAGGAGATTCGAAAGCTCAAGACCGCCGCCAACGCTACGTCCAGTTGGTGAGTACTCCATCATTTTTCCTCGACACCTATCAATATCAGGTCTAATTATTCGCAATGATCTTGGCGCGATTTATTCTCACTCTAAAAGACTCACCGACACAGCATTTTATTTTTTGAGTTTATACAGTCATACTTCACAGCCCGTGTTTCATTAGCGACGAAAAGTATCTCCACTACCTTAACCGCTTCTCTTCACGCGCTTTTCCTTCTCCGCCTTCATGTTTTCGCACATTTGATCAGTTACATTGTTGTCGTACGTTGTCCTCGTTGCTGCGGTGGCGAGTGTTGTTAGTTGTGCGATATTCTCGTAGCAAGTTTAGTTAGGACAGGATCGTTAGAGGAAACGTAGAGAAGGGGGAGGGCGGAAGAGAGAGAAAGAGAGAGAGAGAAAGAAAGCGCATAGACGAGCACGCGAGAGCGTGTAGCGACATTGAGAAATTCTTAATGTCGAGAGGAGTGCGCTACCTTTCGTCGTAGCGTTGTTCTCTGTCCCTCGGACTCGCCGTGTACGCGATAGACGCCTGCCCGAAACCCCTCCCTCCCCAAAAAGGAAGCACCGATGAGCGACGGTGACTGATATTTGGCTCGCTTTTGTTGTTTACAGATCACCCCACGGTTGTACTGTCGTGCAATTTGATTTGACTAGAAAGCTATCAAACACAATACAAAGACAACAAGATTGGATGTTGCGGATGCGAGTTGATGGATGTGCGTGAGTTCCGAAGCGATGACGAGATGGGGTGATGAGTCTGCACGTGTCCCTATCCTGGCGACGGTATTTTATCGATATCGGCGTCGAATGCAGCCTATGATCCGAGAGAAAGGGTATTTAGCGAGAAAGAGAGTGAGCGAGAGTGAGCGAGTGAAAGAACGAACGAACGAACGAAAGAGAGAGAGAGAGAGAGAAAGAATAAATAAGTACCTGTCTGCCGAATGCCGACAATGGATGATGAGGAGTGCAAGTGAATGTTGCCGATGAATGAGCCATGGCCGAAGCCTGCTGAGAGATGTTGCAAGTATGTCTGGTAAACGAGTCTGCGGCTTCTACGTCCGCATGATTGAGAGATTAAACCTGTTGAGAGAATAGTCGACTTCGATGGATGGAGTGATGATCATGAATTGTGAGAGGAATGAACGAAAGAAGATGTGAGAGAGAGTAAGATACCACAAGTGTGATGCAGCAAAACCGAGAGAGGTTGAGCGGAGAGTACATGTGTGAGTGAAGAAGAGTGAGAGCGAAAGAGACTTGAGGAGAATTTTGGATGAATAAAGTGGTAGCGTGAGAGATATGAGAAAGAAAGAGAGTGAAAGATACAGTAAAATACAAACGTGTGTACGCATGAGTGTGAGAGAGAAAGAGAGAAAGAACGAGAGAGAGAGAGAGAGAGATCTTTTGCTTCACAGTAATTTACAATTGACACGTTGCGAAGCCCTCGTCGAGCTTTTTAATGATGTGCGCCAGATTCCGAATCACGTCTATAGCTGTCAGTGCTGAGAGTCGAATTTTATGCACGTATGAAAGATTTCGGTTTCTTGTGCAGTCAGAGTGACGTATGAATGAGTAACGAAGGAGAGAATGAGACGAGGGGAGAGAGACAGGGTGATTGAAAATGAGAGAAAGAGAGACTGAATGTGATAGATCGGGAGGATTCGTTGTGGATGAACCCTGGTCCGATCGTGCTGCGCGAATATTCGCGTGATCTGTTGTAGTTGTATGAGCCGAGATGTTGTGTATGTTACTTTTCCCCGTACGTGAATGTTGATCTGTTGGTTCATTAAAGTTAATATTTTGCTGGTATAAGTGATTTAGTTGTACCGAAGTCCTCGTCCGGCCTTAAACGTCCGTAGGAACAAATGATATCGAGTGCTCAAGATCAACCCCTCACCCCCATTTCTACCCCCCTCAAAAACACTCTCCTTTTGCTCTGTAACCCCCTTCGATATACTACACATCCCTCTTAGTAATCGAGCACTTTACGCGATCACGGTATTCGCAAGTAGCGCCACAGACGAGAAGAAAGATAGAGAGAAAGAGAGAGCTTTTCGCACTGCCATTGGAACAACGCTGCACGGCTTGTCCAGACAATTTTTTAAACACTCATTTCTTCCTTCCATGTGAGACGTCTGAGGCGCACTGCAAATTCACTCGAGTCTGTTTTTGGGTGAGATCATCGTCTTCCCGGTCGCACGTTACCGTGCAGGGGCGTCCCGTGATGCTTTTGCATGACGGAAGGGCCCCTTCACGGCTCACCAGCACTTTGAAGCGATACCGTAATCGCGTAAACTAGTCGAGTCGCGTAATTAACGGGTAATTGACATAGCCTAGTGTCGCTTGGAGAAATAGAGTAGAGTGAATCTCTTCCTGAACGAGAGAACGCGCGTGGAGAAGGCGATACTCGCTGCATTCGCGCAATCACAAACAACTCCTCCACGTTTGATCACACAGGTTGTCTCAACTATCCCGTACTTCTACCTCCGCTTATACCGCGTGCTTGATGACACGTAGCCAGCGCCGTGCCGACCGCGAATCGTGTTCAGTGTAGAGTCCATTGCCTATTTTTTCGGAAACTGGATTAGATGTGTAATATGTCACAAGTGTAGAGCGACATTCCGTCAAAAAGAGGCCGGCCGGTCGGTGTGCCGCAACAATGCGATGCAAAGGTTACGTCGCGTCGTCGAGAAACGTGTCTGTGGTAGTGCCATGCATTCCAAATACTTTTGCCAGCGGGTGTGCCGGTACTTTTCGTAATTTGAGTATTTTATAACGCGATTCCATTCGTATACCTTATCCCTCATCCCTTACTCGTATCCGCCTCTTATGTGAATTTTGGAGTGTGAGAGAGGGTGATGTATAATGACGTAGCGTAGGAGTCTCAAGTTCTCAAGCTTAAAACACGGGGCAAGCGTGTTTTGACAAAACATGTCAGCGTGGAAACGCACAATTCTCTGGCACTCATCCGATAAAATGAGACTGTGAGAATGTTTCGGACGATCACACGTTGGCTGACTTGTTATGTACCTTGCGTCTCTGGCCAGAACTCGTGCGACTTGAATTTTCTCGTCGATGAAACCGATGCACGTACAAAACGACACGTTCTCCGCGGTGATTTTTATACTCGTGGATTATATTTTGCAATGTGATGACGTCTGTTGTATATATTGTCCCGCATAAGTGTTGCCACACGATATTTCGTAGCCTGGGTTTTTACGAGAATCATTTTAGGTCGCGTCCAGTGTACGTGCGATTTATAGAAAGAAAGAGAGAGCGAGAAGAAAGATTAATCTATTTGTTTTTATTTGTTGGAGCGGTGTGTATACATCAATTTTTGATTTACATATTTGATTTTTATTTACATATTTGTTAGGTCATATAACGATTAAATACAATGATAATGATGGACTATTCTCGGTAGGTAATTTGTAACATATTGCCAAATTGTAAATAAGCAAATGAGACATTTAATTACCGATTTGAAATATCTATCGATATATTAATGTTTAATAGAATACACAGGGAGGACGAATATATTTTTTTTAGTACCTCTTTCACAAAAGGGAAGGATATAAACTATTTTTCTATGACAAGATTCTCACAAATTGTAAAGTAAAACTAATGTCTTGTCGCGGATTGATGGATTTCCTTCTTGTGAAAAAAAACACAGGAAAATATCTCGAGTTTGTGGCAATATTTATCCGAGGAATTGATTCTGTATGTATTTTAAGGCTACCGCGGTGCTATTTGTTCAATAGCGAATGATTTTCCAAAATCTGTCGGAAGCATTTTTGTACCTTTTTTTTTGAATTAATAAATTGCAGAATATGATACTATATATTCGATCTAACAAAATTTACCAAGTAATTCAGTACATAAAAATGCAATGGTTGAATATTACTGTTGACGGTAATTTGTCGACATACCGTTTTTTGTGTTTATCGAGAAAGTCAATTATATTTTCTCTTTGTCGAGAAACGCAATGCCCTGAACGCCAAAATTTCGCCGAGATTGCTTTGATAACTTTCTGTATCAGCATGGTTATCACCGACGACGGTTAATTAACAATCGCGATCGATAGCAAATTACTCGATTGCGATGGACTCGGTAAAAGAGGCGCGAGTATCCTTTTCCTTTATACATTCCATGTAGCAGTGATTAGGCAAAGAGAGAGAGAAAGAGAGAGAGAGAGAGAGAGAGAGAGAGAGAGAGAGAGAGAGGAAGAGAGTGAGAGTGAAAGAATGCCACGATAAGGAGGACGGCGATGCGCATCTTTTCGCATCTTGCAAAAAACTCGATCGCTCGCCTGTCTTGATACACAATTGAGAGCTTGCAATTTCCATGCATAACGATTGTCGGAATTCGCGGTTGATTCCGATTTTATTGTAAACTGGTGCCAAGATCGATCATTCTCTCGAAAACTCAGTGGCGAAGTAAAAGCTCGCGAATCGGCTGCTACATTAATATCGATTAACCTTTTGGCTGCGAGAGGCGTATATATGCGCCCTGAGAAAGCGGCTGCCCATATACGAGAGGCGTATTTATACGCTCTGACATATCCGTCGATATATACGAGAGCCGTATACATACGCCTTATACAATTGGTTTGATATGATGCATTTTTTTTTTATTTTTTACTAAACTGACACGTTACTGTATTTTATTCCTCAATATACTTGTGTATTCAGTTGAGCAAATGCTTGACAAGGAACATGTCGTGTCGTACACTGTGGACGATTTTCAGTGCGCTGTAACTAAAAACTTAATATGGGCAGCGAATTCTCAGATAATGCATAAAAATGTGTACATATGTGGAATTTTATTGTTTTAACCCGTAACAGGTACCATGCCTTTTTAGTCAAGTTATAGCTACAAACTTGGGGTCCGGCGAACCTCAATAAATTTTTGCCATTTTTAACATGATAATAAAAGATAGAAAGAAAAACGCTTTATAGTTCGAAAATAATACTTTATGAATATTATATTACAACTAGACATATATAATAACAGTCTCAGTTTTTCAGTAATCTAAAAGAAAACATTAACTGATTATAAAATGAACACAATGTGTGGACAGTGTTAAAATAAAATACACTGAAAGACAAATAATCAGAAAAAGAAAAAATTTATGTTTTAATCTAAGTCTATAAATTATAGATTATATAAAAAATATAAACAAGTATTGTTAAATTAAATACAATATTAAAATCTTAGAGGGTTTTTAGATGCAATCGTTACAGATAGTATTTGCACATTTGGTGCATATCTGGTTCATTGCATCTAACATATACTTCTTTGGACTTCGTATCTTTACTTCTAAGACAATTTATTACATTTTACTCTGGATGGCAAAATAATTTTAGATCTTTCAGTTTCTTCAATTTTTAAAATAGATGAAATTATTAAACGCAATAGCTGATGAATATATTGAGTTGTAAGACGTCAGTTCAGGTTCTACTAACTGAAAGGCTTTTATTCATTTGCGTGAAGAATGAGTCATATTAAGCTGAAGATTAAGAAAATTATTTTCATAAAAGTAACGTTAACAGTACAATGGGGTCACTGTGACCCCAGGCGAAAAACAAATGCATATAATTCACAGCTACTTACAAGTAACTCGATGATCTTTTCTTGTCACACTGAAAACTGTCAAACTGTTATTCGAAAGGTATTGAAAATATTAGCGCTATACAGTGGATAGTTTAGGAATTATCACAAAAATAAAATTAGTTGGGGTCCCTGGGATCCCATTGTACCTGTTACGGGTTAACGAAAGGGCGAGAAAAGAAGTCATGCTCAAACAGGAACCACACGATCTCGGGAGATGTAAATGATAGTGATTTAATCTATATATTTTTTATGTTGTTAAGTTTTTTATTTTTATTATTATATACATCTATATATCGAGAGAATTATTTAAATACCAAAATTGAAAGTTCAGAACATTGAGTCGTGTTAAAGGTGATGTAATTTGATACATGCTAGTGAAAAAAAAATTTACGGAATACAAATGTCTTTATTCCTCGTGCTAAATTTTTATTTAGTCGCAGCTCCAAAATTGCGCAATGATCACACTTGCATTAGTAGTTTATTTTCCAAAGGATCGACTCGGCACCGGCAGTAAATCGCGAATTGCGTCATCGGTGCCCACCAATGGGGTGATGAAGAGCGTAAGAGGGGAACAAGCTGGTGTATAAGAGTGAAGCGTGAAATTGGTGAATGGTTGAAACAAAGGTTGTGATGTAAGAAAGAAAGAAAGAGAGTGATAGAAAGAGAGCATGAGAGGGAGAGAAAGAGAGAGGGAGATCGTAGAAGACGAAGCGGAGCGACGAACTACAGTCGGCCGCCTGACGGAAGGGTGACAAAAGATACGAAAATACAAAAAAAAGAAGAAATAATAGATATATATGCGACTGTGATTTTCGGAGAGACTCTCGTGTGCGAGGGGTCGACGTTCTACCCTGACGAGAGCACGGTTCACGCGACTGCGCGATCCTTTCGCAACGACCGCAAAGGACGACGACTCTGTCGGACGATCCTGATCCAGCATATCCTACGATCGAAGTCCCCCTTTTTCCCTTCTACCTCGAGAACCTGATCGAGCCTGAAACGCACATGTCGGGATCGTCGGTAGAGGAGAGTCCACTCGCGAGCACCGTGCTTCATCGGGCTGGCTTCGCACGAGTATCGCGCGCATGACGTCCTCGTCGGACGGATGATCCCTATCCCGTAGATTAGACATTTTTCTCAATCAGCTTCTGCGTCCTGTCAGATCAGGGGACCATAAGCAAAATTCTCCCTCAACGGAGAGCCGCGAAACAACGCGGAAAAAAAGTTTGTTCGGATTAATCAAATATCTGGTGAAGTGTGAACGAATCAGAATTCCGGTTTGAATTACCAGAATTCTGCCCAAGTTGACGAGATTTTTGGTTAACTGGAATCTCGTTAGCTTGATTAATTGTGGTAACTCTAACCAGATCAAGCAGAATTGTGTTTCGTTGATATTTCGCCAGACATTTGGTTGATCCAAATTTCTTTTTCCATGCAGGCAAGTCCGTGTAAGTTTCGAACGTTTATATGCCAAAGATTCTTAAAAGTCATAGGAAGTTAACGCAGCAAGTTCTCACCCGACGTGAAGAATACTGGGGGCTCCGACTATAGCCGCTCTAGATCACCACATAGCTGTGAGAAGCTTTCTTCGAGACGAAAGACTAGTGCTGTCAGTTTCGGATATTTGGTTCTTTCGGGTTTTACCCGAATACCCGGATACACTCGTGTCTTTACCAGGTATATACCCGTGTATAGCTCGTACATATTAAGTTGAGGGCTTCAAGCCTACACCCAGACTGAGAGAAGGCGGCTTTATTTTGCGTCCGTACGCCTTCTGCACAAAAGCGCGCGGCTAAAGTTAATTTAACGAGTACATGAAGCAATTTGACATATCCAGGTTATTAATTTTTTGACAATAACAAATAACGAACTGACAGCACTAGACGAAACCCACCATCCCATATACACGACACGAACGTTCCACTGTAGCGACGTCTCGCGACTCTTCCTCCTTCGTGGTCGATCGGAAGGGACGCCGCGAGGCCGTCGTCGCGGCGGAAGGTGGTGATCCTCGGTGCGCGACGACGAGGACTTCTGGCCCTGCGGCAGCAGGCACGCGAAGCCAGCCCCGGGGGACACTCATAGTGCGACAAAGCGACGCCTTGTCGACTAATTAGTTGTTAGCCTTTTCATCGTCGAGACTCCTAGAGTGCGTGCGATGCTTATTAGGGAACGTGTACGTGTGAGAGCGTATTACGTAGTCTACATTTAAAAGTCGTGTGCATTACGCTGTATCAGTGATGATGTGCGCTGTGAAATAGGGAGCGAAGTTTATACTTAAGGATGCGTCGATGATGACTGAAGGAGCGGATCGGGGAGAGAAGATGTTGGTGACAATGATGATAATGATGTTCTGATGTTGATGTTGCTGCTGATGCTGATGCTGAGAATGAGATGATGAGGGTGTTGCTGATGGCGTGATGTGATGTGGTTGGCTCGTGATTCGTCGTGAATCGCGGCGTCACGTTCGAGAAGGGAGAACGGATCGTCGATGTACGGAGAAACGAAAGCGAAAGCAAACACGTGTAAAAGTAAATATAAATTTTGTATCGCGGGGCGGGCCGTATCGCGCCGTCTGTCGGCCCGCGGGATCGATGGAAAACATCTGCTCTAGCAATCTCGGGACTTAGCGATCGTATTGTCACAAATAATCGTAGAATGTCATTAGAAATTCCGTGCGAACAGGCACGGAAAACTTGACACAGGATGCCAAAGAGAAGAGAAAGATCGACAGTACATTTTACGTCTTTTTCTCTTTCTTGCGATCGTCTTGAAGCTCTTGAGCTGCTCGCCGCGGCCATCTTGATTGATGACGTCGCAAGCGAGGAAATGCATGTCCAAAATCCCCAAAGTATGTCGAAATAAAACGATTCATCCAAAAAATTACACCCGCAATCGACTAAGCGCACCTCTGAACACGTTTTCCCTTATAGCTCTGATAATCGATAAATGAATGTGAGGTTAACGTGACATGCAACTTTTCTTTCTGACCTATATTTTCTCATTATTTCGTCATGTTAATTTGTCACGGCTGTTTATTGATTATTAGAGCGAAAGAAAAGTGTTGAAAGTATTTTAGAGCTGTACTTAATCGCTTGCAAGTGTCCTTTTTTGGATATATCTTTTTACTTCGACATATCTTGTAGAAATTTTGGATGCGAATTTTTCCACTCCTCTGACGTCATCAATCAGAATGGCCGCGGCAAGGGACCAGGAGACTCGACGTATTT